AAAACCTCTCCCGACTAAATTTCGCAGGCACAGATATATCTTGGCGAAAATTCTCTGCTCCAACGAAATTTCATCTGTAGAGGTAATTTCGTCGGGGCAAGTCTAATCCGGCAAAGTTTCGCCGGGATAGATTTGTGCCAACGAAATTTTGTCTGGAGAGGTTTTATTTAAAAATAAATATAAATTTAGTATCTTTTAGGTCCAACAAATTTTCTTTTTATTAATTAAATAATATCTTAGACTTATTTAATTATGTTCTAATTATTATTTCTTTGGTGAATAACTAAATACTTTAATTAACTTAATAAATGGAATTTTTATTTTTATTTAATCAAATGTTTAAATACTAATTATTCACTAAGTAAATAGTAATTAAAACATAACTACTAATTAAAAAAGAGAAATCAAGATTATGCTATTCAAAACGTACAGCCGGGCGACGTCTAAAATATTATATTTAACTCGTATAGCCGCGCGGCTGTCCTTTTAAAAAATTCTATTAAACGCCTACAGCCGCTCGGCTATACTCTTGAAATATCCTTTTAAAATTTTTCTTTTTTATTCATTAAATAGTATCTTAGCCTTGTTTAAATACTTTCATTAATGATGATGTTTTAATTATTATTTCTTTAGTGAATAATTAGTATTAAATATTTCAATGAAAATCCTAGAAATTTGGTTTTAGTACCCAAAATATTTTAGTATTCCAAAAATGGATTTTAGTCTTGAAACTTAAATCCAAGTCACAACGTGATTCGATAATATCAACTGCTTGTTAGAGTTTGATTAAAATACATGAACTTGAGTCCCATATTGGAAAAGAAGAGAGAATATCTATTCCTTAGTAGGCTTATGGTTAGGGTTCGAGGCTTGAGAAAGGTTTGGGAACAATTTCGGAAACTAGGGTTCTTGGTTTGAGACTTGGATGTACCCAAAATAATTTTGTGAAAACAAAATTTAAAACGAAGTTCACAAAAAGAATATAGAACTCCAGCGTATTTAAATATTGAAACGTATAGCCGTGCGGCTATACATAGTTATTTTGCCCTTGGACCGAAGATGCTGATTCATTTGTTCTACTTGAGCAGAAAAGAGGAAAAATTTTGCACTGAGCAATAGCAGGTAGACATTGTGAGACTGAAAATAAAGAGGAAATAATACACAACATTCCATTCATCGTTGAAATGTTGGAAATAAACAACATTCACAAGGATATAATAACAAAAGCAATATTAAAAAGGATACAATTTTTGGTGGTAAAGGGTGGAATGTTTCAGACTGATATAGGTCATTGATAGGTTTAAGTCCTTCAAGATACAAAAATAATCGTACATTTTTGAAACAACGGTAAGTAGTAACTACTACTCCATTAAAAACGGAGCTCAAAGCTTCTATATCAATAACCATAACATCACACTAGTGTCTGGTTGAACTAATAGATAAACTGAGACTCCAGCAGCCATGTAGCAGAAGCTCCTGTATAGTGACACTTCTATAATGATTGATAGTGACTGGAACAAAAACAAGCCTGTAAGGCTATAGAACTAGAACTTGGTGTTGAAGTATTGTACCATGGGGGGGACTTGGTTTATGGCTTGAAGGAGATGCTTCCAGGAAAATAAAAGAATCCTTCAATTTTCTGCCGGCTGCTCATTCCATGCCTGCTTCAAACCGTATGAACAGCAATACAATGAGCTGCAGCTTCCCTGACCTGCAAACAGAAATCAATTAGCCTCCTCAAAGTCAAAGCTTCATTAGAACAGATGTCATTTAATTGCTGTGAAAGTCAGAAACGTTTCATTCTTTCAGCTTGATTCTCTCTCACCTTGTCTCGTGATGCCACTCTGCAGTCGGATTCTTCTCCGAGCATCTCCCATGGGTGCAGTGAAGACATGAATGGATATTGGTTGATATGGAGGTTGTGTGTTCTGCAATTTGTAGGATAGATATACTAGTTGAAGAAGTCTACTGATCTGAGAAATATCTCTAGTTTGTGCTGATAGAGGAAGAGGAAGTAACGTCTCCAAAAAAACTGCTTCTGAGAAAAGACGTTTTTAGTTTGTCTGGACTCGTTGCATTCGGAGAAGGGTAGAGAGTTCTGGATGGCATTTCAACCAATTGCATTTTCTGGTCTTTCTTTGTACCAACAAGTTACACACGCATAAACGATTTTTGACAAATTGCCCAAAACCATTGCTGTCTGTCAGAGACTAGTAACTTGTGTCTTTTGTCTTGGACATAAATGTCCAAAACTACGAAGAAGTTATTAGAAAAATCTTCAAATTATTTGTAGGAGAATATCACTGTCTGTAATAATGTAAGTTGGAGACACATTCTTACAAGAGCTCATGGTTTATAAGTCTCCTTGATATTCTCCCATAAATAAAATGTTGTGGTTCATTAACCATATTGGAGTGTTTTTCCAATAGCTAATGCAGAATATATTTTCCATGAAGTACTTCAGTGTTTGTCTCACTGTTGTACTCCACCATCCCCATCATAAACCCTTCCCAATGACTTTGGTAGGTTGAAGTCATTGAAAAGAGTATATGATGATGTTTTTGTTATTCAATAAGATTGTGGGAAAAGAGCCGCAGTCTCCGGATATGGAGATTGCAACTCATTGCATCCAATAGAGTTATTGGCATGCAGAAGATTTCCCTGTTCTGGCTGCAATATTCTTGAAAGCCATGTGTAATCGTCTAGCTTAAGTTGTAAGAATGATTCCGGATCTTCTTCTGGTTGAGAATAAACCTGGAATAAGAATCACAAGCAAGCGTTAAGTTTCGTTGTACTTCTTGTGCTCTATATTAAGTTCTTCATATATGAAAATTTCAAAGAGCATGTTCATTCTCACCTCTGACGTCCTTTCATCTCTAGTTTGATTCTTGAAATTAGAGGCGGTGTTGCTAACTGGTTTACTGTCATAATTGGTTGTAATATTATTCTTATATGGAAGAGAAGAATCATTATTCCCAATTGGAGATGGCACAGAAGCATTTCCCGGCTCAGGTGGCTCAGGTGGAGGAAAATGTAAATCCAGATATTCTCCTGGCTGAGCACTTAGCTGTCAGATTAAGAATCACAAACAAGCAAGCGTTAAGTTTTGAAATACTTATTGTGCTCCCTATTAACAATTTTACATCAGAAATGTTCAAAAATTAGTTTCATTCTCACCTCTTGAATCATATCATCACAATCAGATGAAACACAGCCATCAGGTTCACCAGCATCATGATTGCCACTTCCAGGCAGATCATGTTCTGGCTCTTTGTCTGCCAGATGTCTATCGGCCTCCGGAATCATATTACTTTCAGGAGCTTGATCATCTTCAGAATTTGAGGCCACGCAGCCACCAATACCAGGATCAGCTGATTCATCACAGATTGAAGCATACTTCAGCTTCTTATTATCAGACTCATAATGAGCTGACTTATTCTTCATGCGGCAGAGAACAAAGTCACTCAGCTGATTGGGAATAGAACCCGGTTCAGTTTGAGTGAGATAATACTCCTGCATGACCCAGTCGGTCTTCGTCGACTTAGACACACGACCTTCATGGAATGTCAAGGTCCTCTTTTTGCAAGTGACCGATTTGGAGAGTTGTTGAGACTTGATTTCTCGTGGCTTGCCTGTGATTTTCCAGAATCCCTTCTTTGTGGCCCTGTTGTAACGAAGACTGTTGATGGATCTGTAACGAGGTCGGCTGAAGGAAAACCACATCCTAGGTTGATATGGAGAGTCTGGGAACAAGAGCTCTGCAAAACGCAACACAAAACAAGATATTGAAACCAACCCAATTCAAGTGTTGAAGTAATGAATAACAGAATTCAACTAAATTACTGAACAAGATTATGTATACATATAAATTTTAAATTGGAGATGAGAAAATGGGTAGTCAAGAAAAAGTGAGACAGATAAATGGATTATGTCAGGTAAGTCCCAAGTACATAACAACAGTTCAACACTTCAAAAGAACAATTGATCAAGATTATGCATGCATAAAAATCATATCTTGGAAATGAGAAAATGGGTAGTGAAGCAAAAGTGAGATAGATTAATGGATTACCAGCTAAATCCGAAGGCTCGTACTTGCAGACATCGATTTCAGGGATGATGTGGCAGGCTTGGGAGGCCTTACCCTGCATCATCTGCTTCAAGAAGCGAAGAAAAAGTGAGATAGATTCATTATCAGATAAATTCCAAGGCTTGTACTCGATTTCAGGCATGGTTTGGGAGCCCTGGCCCTCCATCTTCTTCCTCAAAAGGTTCACCATTTCCTCCTCAGGGGGATGGAATCTGAATCCACGCAGCAAGGGAAGCAACCATTCTTCTGTTGTTGTGCTTCTCATCCCTCCTGCAACTGTTTTGGAAAATTGGAATAAGATTATCAAATGTTTTGGCTTCAGAGAAGATGCAGCAGAGTAGTGAAGTTGTATTTATAGACAAACTCACCAACCCACAAGCCACAGCACTATCACTCTGGTTTTTGACTTGTGTTTCATCCCAAAACTCCTGAGCTTCCCAACCAAGGTCTCTTCCTGGCCATACATGGCTTGATGAGTCATATGTGTGGATCCCACCCATTTCCTATCATCATCTTGCCCTTTTTTTTCCTTTTTCTTTTCTGTCCTTCTGAAAACAACAACAAAAAACCCCTCTCGTAAGTTCAGCTTTTAGGATTCTTTATCAACGATTTGTGGGGGATATAATATCCTTTAGAAATTGAACATCTTCTTTTTTTATTTGAAACAGATGTAATTTAGTCAGCTATGAGCAGACGCAATTTAGCCTGCTTCAGTGCTGGCATGTACTACGAATATAAAGAAGAGAAAGTAATATGCGAAATTCCATTCCACAATAAAAAGGTTGGGATACGCAATACAACACTCACAAAAATACAATTGAAAAGAAAAATGGATACAATATTTGGTGGTAGATGGCTGTAATACTAGTCTAATACATGGACTGAGATTCCAGCAGTCATGTAGCAGCTCCTAGACTGCGCCACTTCCAGAATAGAAACTGCATAACAAAAGATTTGCTAAGGCTAGAACTACAACTTGGTTGCTATAAGGCTAGATCTACGACTTCAGGGAGATGCTTCGGGGAAAATGAAAGAACGAACCCTTCCAATTCATCCCAGCTGCGCCTTCTATGCCTATTTCACAAGGCCTCTTTTGACATTCTTCTGTTTCATCATAGTAGTAATAATCCTAGTTAGCAATAACTTTATTCAAGAACTTTGTGGGAAAAGAGTCATCAACTCCAAACTGGAGATTGAAGCTCATTGCATTCAATATAGTTATTGTCATGCAAAACATCTCCCACTTCTGTATTCATTAGTGGCTGCAGTGTGTAATCCTGTAGCTGCAGTGTGTAATCCTGTAGCTGAGGTGCATGAAAGATTAATTCCAGATTCTCTTCTTGTTGAGGATATTCCTGTATTAAGAATCATAAACAAGCAACCGGTTAAGTTTGGATATCTCCATAATAACAAGTTCACATAATAAAACATTAAAAGAGTATGCTCATTCTCACCTCTGAAATCCTTTCATATGTAGTTTGATTTTCAAAATTAGCAATGGTGTTTCTAACTTGTCCATTGCCATCATATGTAGACTGCCATTGATCGTTATAAACATTGGCATGTGGGACACTTCCCAGTTCAGTGTATATTGGTGACTGCAGTGTGGAGGAGCAGTAATCATGTGGCTGAGGTGGATGAAAGCATGGATCCAGGTTTTTGTCTGGCTGAGCACATTGCTGCCGGATTAAGAATAAAAAACAAGCTAGCGTAAGTTAATGAATACTTCTTGTGCTCCATATTAGGAAGTTGGTATTAGAAATGCTCAAAAAGCATGTTTATTCTCACCTCTCCAGCTTGATTTTCAAAACCAGAGGCATCAATATACATAAAACCTTCCAGTTCTGTATATGTTGGATCCAAGTTTCTTTCTTGCTGAGCATATAGCTGGATTAAGAAACATGTAGGTCAGGTCAATTTTTAGCCCAATACTAAGTTCATATCAGAAATATTCAAAAAGCAAGTTTATTCTCACCTCTCGCGACATATCATCTGCGACTTCATTTTTGAAATCAGACATGGTGAAGCCATGCGGTTCACCTTCATCACAGGTTGAAATATCATTGTTATCAGTAACATGATACTCATTATCTCCAAATGGAGATTGCATTTCATTACAGTCTTCATTAATGTCATTGGCTTGCAGAACATCTCCCAGCTCTATGCTTGCTGGTGATTGCAGTGTGGAGGGGCTGTGATCCTGTGACTAAATGAAAGGGTGATGCATTAAGTTTCGACAAACTTCTTGTGTTCCCTAACAAAAATATTTGAAGTATAGAACATGCTCATTCTCACCTCTGGAGTCACAACAGCTGCAACTTGATCTTCACAATTAGACAAATTGCAGTTGCTAGGTTCACCCTCAGCACAGATTGAAGTATCCTTCTTATCTAGTTTTTTCTTCAAGCGACAGAGAACAAAATCCCTCTGCATAAGTTGGAGACCCCGTATCAAAATCAAAAATACCTTCCTACATTAAGCTATCAACAACCAGCAATTGCAATGCTTATAAGATCACACACATCAAAAGCATTACACAGCACAACCAAACAGAACCTGTTTGTGCATTTAAAACTCCTCCACTATATTAAACATGAAACACTAATCCAATAGACAAAACTTGATGCTGCATAATCCAAGCACAGCACAAAGTAACAAACTTTGTAAATAATCAAAAGGAACCCATAAATAATCAAGCATGGACGAAAGAGAATGACCTTTGCCAGCTTAGGATTAGAATTGGCTTCATCTTCAATGAGATAATACTCGTGCATGACCCAGTTGGTCTTCTTCGATTTAGGCACACGACCTTCATAGAAGGTCAAGGTCCTCTTCCTCCCAATGACAAATTTGGACCCTCGAGCCCTGATCACACGTTCCTTGCCTGTGATTTTCCAGTAGCCTTTCGGCGTGGCCCTGTTGGAGCGATTGCTGTTGCTGTATTTGTAATCCTTTAGGCTGAAGAAGAACCACTCCATATCATGATATGGAGAGTCTGGCTCTGTGAACAAGAGCCCTGCAAATGCAACACAAAGAAAAATATCAAAATTTGAAACCAACCCAAGAACTAAAAAGATAACTTTTTTCCTTGGGTTTTTGTACTTACATAACAATTGAAACCAACCCGGTTCTTCAATTATTGAAACAGAACAAGATTGATTGTATATACATAACCATGCATCATTAATGAGAAATGGGTAGTTAAGAAACTAAGAGTGAGATAGATTACGGGATTATTACCAGGTAAATCACAAGGCTCGTGCTTGCAGAAAGCAATTTCAGGGATGATGTGGTTAACTTTAAAATCTTTATCCTGTTTCTTCTTCCTCAAGTAGTGGTTCACCAGTTCCTCTTCGGTGGGATGGAATCTGAACCCTACAGGCACTGAAACCCCTCCTGTTGTTTTTCTGTTGCACTTGCTGCCCATCGCTCTCGCGCTCTCGCTCTCTCTCTCTCTCTCTCTCTCTCTCTCTCTCTCTCTCAAAGCAAGCAAGAAGAAGCTGCAATGGCATCAGCAGAATGAAGTTGTATTTAATAAACAAACTCACTCACACTCTCAGTACTGTTTGATCCCCAACCCCTCCCAGGGCATTTATAAGTCCTCAACTTCCTAAACAAGTTCATAAGTCCTCAACTTCCTAAACAAGTTCTGGCTGACGTTGCACGCTTTTTTTTTTTTTTTTTTGGTGTTTTCCATCAACAACCCCTCTCGGAAGTTTAGCTTTTAGAATACTTTACATTTCTGTGCTAGAGTAAGTTTCATGTCCTTTTCCTACATTTAATTCCACGTCAAAGAACAAACAAAGTAAGAATAGTATTATTCGACCCAAAAAAAGAAGTGAGAATAGTATTACTACATTGAATAGATGACACATTGTTACATGTAGACAATATTTGAAGAACAAATTTAAAAGGCAATTACAATTTGCATTTTTACGAATTATTACGCTATTAGTCTCGTCGTGAATTCAACCGTCAAATTAACTTTATTTTCTTCGTATGACAATCTTTTTGGCCCATTTTTATAATCGTCAAGATTTTACGTAGACAAATAATAACTTAAAAAGAAATTCTTAACCTTCTAGACATGTAGTGAGATGAAAAATGACTTATGTGACATCAATATGGTATGCTTAAAAAGAAATTAAAATCATGTTGAACATGGATCAATTCTTAACCTTCGACATTCATTTGCCACTCTTAACCATATTTATTTAACTCTATCTAGCTGCAGTAAACAAATGGAGTATTCAAGGTTCACCCAAAAACCTTTATACAATTCCAGATTCTTCTAAATATAAAGACCCCTACTTTAATTCTAGATTCTTCTATAGATAAAAACCCCCCCAAAAAAAAAGAAAAGAAAGATTTAAACAATCTTAGCACCGCCAACTGATAAAGGTTTTTATTTTAATATGTGATTCTTTAGGGTATTTAGATAATTTTAAAAAAAATATTCTGAGTTTGTGATTGGAGAAATGGTGATATCCAATAGGCTTTTGAAACTTTGCCCCCAAGTAGTTTTCATGAACTTGTTCACCAAGTAGTCTTCTTGGACCCCACCTTCGATTCTCTTCACCGAAAGTACCATCATTCTGTTATATGTTCCCCACTTGCCAATTGCCATTGTACCTCTTCTAGTAAATCAGATTATTCTCTAACGTTTAATAAAGATATGGACGACAGAATTGGTGACATCCAAAAGTTACGATGAATTTCACCTGCGAATGTGTAATTTTATAAATGGTGTGATTCTGCAATTAAAGATGGTTGACAATGAAATCCTTTTGTGGCACCCTTCCATTTCCTTTTGTGGTTTGGGCCCTTGTTCAGTGTTTCTCTGATCCTTCTTTGAAGTAATCCTTTTGTGGTTATGTGTTTATATGATCCTTCTTTGAAGTAATGCACATTATGCACTGATGGAAAATGATATCTTTTGAAGAAGGAACCTAGATCATCTTATTGTCTTATCTATCATTGTCTTGTAATCCAACGATTAAGAGATTTGGTCTCACCTAAGGGTCATATATAAGGCCCTCACTATAGAATTCTTATTGTGGCTGGATGGGCACGAGTCATTCTATAATGAGGGCCTTATTTATAAGGCCTTTAGATGAAGTTCTATCTCTTAACTGTTGGATAAAATTGTCTATCTCTTTACTATTGGATCAAATTAACTAATTTGATCCAATGACTAAGAGATAAGGCATCATCTAAGGACCTTAGATATGGCCCTCACTATAGAATTCTACGGATGGGCACCCTTCCATTTCCTTTTGTGGCTTGGGCCCTTGTTCAATGTTTCTCTGATCCTTCTTTGAAGTAATCCTTTTGTGGTTCGGGCCCTTGTTCTATGTTTATATGATCCTTCTTTGAAGTAATGCACATTATGCACTGATGGATTTAGTTTCCGACCAAAAAAGAAGAAGAGTACAATAGGAAGAGAAGGAACCTAGATCATCTTAGGGCATGTTTACGTATTAGTAATGGAGAAAGTAAGGAATCAGAGAATTTAGGAATCGGAGAACTGCTGAATCGGTATGGGAAGAATCATTCTCATTAAACTGTTTACTAAACATATGTTGCTAATTTTCTTGAATCAGAATCCAAATTAATTTGATTACTAAAATGTCATGCACCATTTCACTACAGCACATATATAATTCTCAAATTGGCTAATGAGACCAAACTAATCCTACAGCAGACCAATAAGGCGGTGTAAACATGAGGAATCAATATGCTGAACAAGATGAACAACATGAGCTTAGTTCAATGATAATGTTAATAACACTTTTGTCCAGAGCCAATTTCAAACGAAAAAATAAACTCCAATAAATATATATCATTGTCTTGTAATCCAAAGGTTATAATATATTTTGAAGTTCTCTTGTTACAACCCAAAGGAAAATGAGTGAAGATTTTTATGCACCATTTGGAATTGAAGTTAAGGACTGCCAAAATAAGAAGAGAACATTGTGGGTACAAATATAAGGAACATTGTGGCATACACAATACAATACTCACAAGGATAGTATTGAAAAGAAAAATGGATACAACATTTGTTTTAATACTAATACATATGCATAGACTGAGATTCCAGGAGTCATGTAGAGCAGCTCTTACAATGCGCCATTTCCAGAATAGCGACTGCAGAACAAAAGCATTGCTCTAAGGCTAGAACTACAACTAGGTGCGAATATTATTCCATAGAGGACTTCGATCTACGGCTTCAGGGGAAAATTAAAGAATGAACCCTCCCAATTCATCCCAGCTGCCCCTTCTATGCCTATTTCACAATGCCTCCTTTGATATTCTTCTCTGTTTTCATGGAAGTAATAATTCTAGTTAACAATAAATTTATTCAAGAACTTTCTGGGATTAAAACTCAATGCATTCAATGTAGTTATAGTCATGCAAAACATTTCCCACTTACGTGTTCATTAGCGACTGCGATGTGTAATCCGCTAGCTGAGATGCAGATAAGATTGATCTCAGATTCTCTTTTGGCTGAGGACATTCCTATATTAGGAATTATAAACAAGTAAGCAGTTAAGTTTGGATAAATCCATAATAAGAAGTTCATATAACAAAACGTTCAAAGAGCATGCTCATTCTACCTCCGAAATCCTTTCATCTGTAGTTTGATTTTCAAAATTAGCATATGCAGATTGCCATTCATTATTATAGACATCATCATGAGGGACACTTCCCAGTTCGCTGTATATTGGTGACGGCAGAGTGAAAGAGTGGTAATCCTGTGCCTGCTGGATTAAGAATCACGCAAGCAAGCGTAAGTTAATTTATACTTCTTGTACTCCATACTAAGAAGTTAGTATCATAAATGCCAAGAAGTATGTTTGGGTTCACCTCTAGAACCATATTATTTGCAGTTTGATTTCCAAAATCAGAGGCATTAATATACGTAAAATCTTCTAGATTCCTGAATGTTGGTGACTGAGGCATGAGCATATAGCTGTTTTTATCTTGCTGAGCATATAGCTGGATTAAGAACATGTAGATCAAGTTTCGAGATAATATTTTGCCTTATATTAAATTCATATCAAAACATCAAAAAGCATGTTTATACTAACCTCTTGAGACATATCATATGCGACTTCATCAAATGTTGAAAAATCATTCTTATGGGTAACTGAGTAGTCATTATCTCCAAATGGTGATTGCATATCATTACAATCTCCATTGAAGCCATTAACTTGCAGAACATCTCCCAGCTCTATGTATGCTGGTGATTGCAGTGTGGAGGGGCTGTGATCCTGTGACTAAAGTGCACAAACGAGTTAAAATCCGCAAAATTCTTGTGTTTCATAAGAAAAATGTTCAAAAGAAAAAGAGCAAGCTCATTCTCACCTCTGGAGTCACATGTGCAGCTTGATCTTCACAATTAGACCAATTGTAGCTGCTAGGTTCACCTTCAGCGAAGACTGAAGTATCCTTCTTATCGGGGTTTTTCTTCATTCGATAGAGAACAAAATCCCTCTGCATAAGTTGGAGACCCCATATCAAAATCATTAGTACCTTCCCACATTGAGCTATCAACTACCATCAATTTCAATTCTTGTAAGAGCGCACACATCAAAATCATTACACAACCAAACACAACCTGATTGTGCATTTAAAACTCCACCACTATGATAAACATGAAACACTAATCCAATAGACAAAACTCGATGCTGCATAATCCAAACACAGCACCAAGTAACAAACTTTGTAAATAATCAAGCATGGATGAAAGAGAATGACCTCTGCCAGCTGAGGATCAGGACTGGCTTCACTTTCAAAGAGATTATATTCGTGCATGACCCAGTTGGTCTTCTTCGATTTCAGCACACCACGTTCATAGAAGGTCATGGTCCTCTTTGTCCCAATGACAGCATTGGACCCTCGAGCCCTGATCATACGTTCCTTCCCAGTGATTTTCCAGGAGCCATGCGGTGTGGCCCTGTTGGAGCGATTGCTGTTCATGTACTTGTAATCCCTTCGGCTGAAGAAGAACCACTCCATATATGGAGAGTCTTGCTCTGCGAACAAGAGCCCTGCATATGCAACACAAAGCAAAATATCAAAATTTGAAACCAACCCAAATCATGTCTTGAAGTACCAAGAACTACAAACAGAACAAGATAGCTTGAGGGATTATTACCAGGTATTTCCCAAGGGTCGTACTTGCAGATATCAATCTCGGGGATGTGGTTAACGTTAAAATCCCTGTCCTGTCTCTTGTTCTTCAAATAATAGTCCACTAATTCCTCTTCAGTGGGATGGAATCTGAACCCTAGTGGCACTGGATCCCCTTCTGTTGTTTTTCTGTAGCACTTGCTTCCCATCTCTCTGTGTCTCTCTCTGTCTGTAGATATAATAAGCAATCAAGAAGAAGCTGCAATGGCATCAGCAGAGTGAAGTTGTATTTTATAGACAAACTCAGTCACACTGTCACTACTGTTTGATCATCCAATCTCTCCAAGGAATTAAGTCCTGAACTTCTTAAACAAGTGTTGCTGACTCGACACGCGTTTTTTTTTCTTTTTGT